CGAAACGGGTCTATATGAGGAACTGACAAATGATCTTAGCTACCAAACAAGACTTGAAGGTTTAATTCAACACAAGTCGGGGCTTTTGTCAGCTGAGTAGTTGTGTCCTGTAAATCTTATTCAGCATATAGTTTAGCCCACCAGGGTTAGAGGCTGCAGCTCCTTGGTACGTGCTTTACAGGTTACTCTCAGTCACTATAACATTAGTGATGTGTGATGGGTAGTAGCACTGACCACCAGGTGGATACACTTATCACTCACGAAGTAAATCAAGAATGTTTCAAACTTGCATTGCCATATTTTCTTTTAGTTTAACGTTGATATTAATTCCAGTGTCCACAATTTAGCATATGCGGACCTTGGTTTTCTTTCTATTTCATTCTTATTTCCAAAATTAATTATTGTTATTTTTACAAATTTCTTATTTTCTTATTTTTTGGATTTGGAGCAAATCCTAGAAATAAGTAAATAAAGAATAAAAACAAATAATATTGCAGATATTTTATCTGCAATTTGATTAATTATTTAAGATGCTTACTATTTATCAATGCAAATATTTGTGGAGAAACAGCAGATTGATTAAAAATTTACGTTCCTATAATTTTTACTCAGGAAATAAAAGTGGAATACTGGTATATTTATTGAGTCATAACTTATTGAAATTCTCTGTAAATGACATATCCATAATTCTTTGATATGCTCATGAACCAAAGACATAAGTTAAGGGAACATATTTTATTAAAGTCTATTATTTTCAGTATGGTTTTCAATTTCATTTCGTATCAAAGCATTAAACTTGGCAGAATAACTACATTTCTCTTCTTTAGTTTTATGTTATGGCAAGAAACCTCTTTTGTATTTGTGTTCATTTTGTGTCTAATGGTATACTTTGTTTCATAACTTCTCAACATTTGAAAAATATCCATAAATTATCAAGTAATACAAAATAATCATCATACACTGAAATTGAAAAATACATTAGAAACTGGCACATTTTTATCGGAAAATATACCAACAATAAATTACGTACTTAAGAAACTTTTTAATATTTTTAATTAATATTAGTAAACTTAATACCAAAATAAAATTGTATTATCTTTAATGACATTATATTAAAAATCGGTTTGTTTTATTCAGCGCTTCTAAAGTTTTGTTTTCACGTTGATAGTTTTAAACAATAGTCTTACCAAGAAGAGCTACTCTGATAGTACTATCACGACCGACACACAGTGGGTCAGAATTCGGATCCACCGGTCAAAACTGTGAAACTTTCTTGATTAATTGGTTATACAGGGAGTCCCAATCAAAAGTAGGCACCCTGAATAACTTTGGAGATAAAATTTTTTTAAAAAGTTGGTGAAACACGTCGACCTTGTTTCCAAGGGGGACATATTTTAATGTAATACTTGTATACCTATCATCATCTCTCTACCCTACACGGCCACCACCTCAAAAAATTCAAATGGCAAAGGGGGTCGAGTGATACATCCTTTGCAAGGTCCTTCAATTATCTACATAACTGTGTATTTTTTAAAACTTTTATCGATTCGTTCCTGAGAAATAATTGTTTCAATATTTTAGGTCCGGGAAATAGAAATAAAAGAAGCAGTTTAAATTATCGTATGTATTGTTCAAAATGACCCCCACCGACTTCCATACAGTAGTATAATTTGTCTTTGAAATTCTGTATGAACATTTCTGAACACATCTGGAGTCAATAAACGACATTCTCGAACAATTCTTTCACGTAACTCTTCCAGAGATGCGGGTTTTGTTGCAAATATCTTTGATTTCAAATGTCCCCACAGAAAGAAATTCAAGAGATTTAAATCGGGTGACTTAACGGGCCACTCCACAGGACCTCTTCTTCCAATCCATCGCTCAGGAAATCGATTATCCAAAAATTGACGGACTGATATAGCAAAGTGTAGGGGTGCCCCATTCTGTTGAAAAAACAGTTCGCCCTCTAAAAGATTATCGTCTTCTTCGAGGATTTGGGTAATCATTGGGTCGATGTTATTTTCTAACAGATCGAGGTACCTTTCGCCATTTAAATTGTCAGGAATAAGAAACGGCCCGACAATGTGATCCCCTAAGAAGCCAGCCCAAACATTAACTTCTGAGGCTTTTGGATATGAGTTTCCATGAACAAATGTGGATTGGTTTCACTTTAATACCTACAATTCTGCCTGTTTCCCTCTCCATTTAACTGAAATGTCGATTCATCAGAAAAACACGTATTGTACAGTAGATTGGCAGTACCGTTTATTGTTCACTAAAAATTTCACAGAATTCAAGCCGACGTTCGTGATCATCTTCGTTTAATTCGTGTACCAATTTAAATTTATATGAATAAAATTTGTGGGCCTTTACAATTCGATGAACACTGCTTCGTGATACACGGGAAGCCTCAGCTACTTTCCTGATCGATTGACTATTATCCATCTGCAAATGACCCAGAACTGCCACTTCGACTGCTTCATTCCTAATCGGTCGCTGAGGTTCATGCTTCTTGTTTCCTACAGAATCTGTTTCCATAAATTTTGTCATTAATTGTAAAACATACTGAGAACCAACCCTTCTATCTGGGTGTGTTCTATTGAATATGCGCTCCGTAGCTCTAGCACAATTATCGTTTTTAAGATAAATGCTGACAATTTCTATTGACTCCTGAAGGGTATAAACCATTTTGAAAACTCACTTTGGTAAAATCTATCTCGATTTAAAATTGGTTGTGAACAAATTAATGTTCAAGGACTATCAAATACCTAGTGAGTCTTTTATTATTCTAAAACTAAACGGACGAGGAAAGTATTTTTTGTCGAAAAAACTCGTGTTGTTTTGAGAGCACTAAAAATGTAGTTTTTTTTATAAATTGCAACACCCAGTGCCGTGTATTTTAGATTTTTTTAAACGATCTCGATTGTTTGCAATCATCAAAAATAAAATTATTTTCCTTAAGAACGAATCGAAAAGTTAAAAAAAAATACACAGTTATGTAAGGAATTGAAAAACCTTTCAAAAGATATATCACTCGACCGCCCTTGCCATTTGATTTTTTTGACGGGTGGCCGTGTAGGGTAGAGAGATGATGATAGGTATACAAGTATTACATTAAAATATGTCTCCCTTGGAAACAAGGTCGACGTGTTTCACCACTTTTTCAAAAAGATTTTATCTCCAAAGTTATTCAGGGTGCCTACTTTTGATTGGGACACCCTGTATGTAAGAAATCATGGGAAAAATAGTGAAATAAATCTAATCATCAAAAAGGATGTTTTAGGGGGTGACAAAAATTACACACATTGAGAATTATAAAAAATTGGAAATATATTGATTTTGTAACTGTGATTATGGAAAAAATATTTAAAAAAATTAGATCTTCAAATTGGAAGTTGAAAACTTTTATTCATATCATAGTTTCATTATCAAAATCACCAAATAACATAAGTATATGTTTAGAACTTTGAACAGTTATACTAGCCATCAACTATTTTAAAACAAATATGTGGTTATTTAATCCCTATCATCATCATCATCATCATTTTCATAGTCGTCAATTTCACTAGATTCTTCTGAGGCTAACAATTCATGTATACTTTTAAACACAAGTATTTCTTTAGCTGTTCCTATTTCGAAATTATATAAAAGATTTAAAACATCCTGAGACAGTTTGAAGGTTAATTTTTAGGTAATGGCTTTAAACCTGTAATTAGTGGATCAGAAGAAGCTAATATTGCACGAATAAAATCCTCATTTGTTGACATCCTAGAAACTTTTCTTGTGTCTTTTTTCTCAAAAGTTCTATACTTTTGATCTTTGTTTCGCGTTTCGTGTGCTTTCTCTGACAGCTTACGTATGACACCAAAAATACGGTTTTGTGTGGAAAATTTAAAAATCTAGGCTTAACGCTTTTAAATGTTCAAAATTCAATATTTATGTACTCATGTTTTAAAATAAATACTGTTCATTTGCTGGAATATTCCTGTGTATTCATTGGTTTGCAGCGTTTAATCACTAAAAAAACTGACAATTTGAACTTTAAAAATACTTAATTAAGTTTCCCAATAAATTTTGATTATTTAACACGCAGTAATCGAAACTTTAATGTTATATACTTTACTAGGACTTATATATTACAATTAATGAAAATAAAATAATAAATGTTTCACAAAACAAGTTGAAACCTTTCTTAAATGTTCAATCACTGATGCATTTACCATAAATAAAATTTTTAAAACGCTGTTTTGCAAATTTTGATTGTGTTATCTGAGCGTTGCAAATTTGATGAACAATGCAAGAGAATGTACTAAGTTCTTCGTTAAGGTGATGCTTTAAAACCGTGTTCGTCTCAGATTTATTGAAATTTGTCTGAAATGTGTTGCATTCAGATGTGCGTATTACTCACTGGGGAGGATTCTCCAGAGTAAAAGGAAAATTATGTTGAATGGAGAAGTTATGTTATTGCTTGTATTTATGGTTGTCTAAATTTCTATGTGCGCTGTTTCCCTCTTTAAATATTGAAATTAAAACTCAGATATATTTAAATATTGTGGGTTTTTAAATGAGATGTAGTATTATAAATTTTCTGTGAGATTATTTTAATGAAACATATGGAATAATACTAGTTAAGGGAAATGTGTTTATCTACTTATTATTCATGCAATTCTGCATATGAAACGGGCGCATAATAGCATTAACCTCACTGTTTGGTGTGTAAGCACAAACTAACAATTTTGTTATGATACAGTTATTTTTGTAAGTCTTGCATTATTTGTAAAACAATAATAGAGCTAATTGGTCTAGTGGATGCTTTAATATATTCTTTTATACTAATTTTGAACAATTATTCATATTAAAATTAAATTAAACATCACAAGTAATTCAACCTCCTTTGTCCTCAATGTAGCTTGTGCGGGAGAGGGCTATACATTTAGAGACAATGGACACACCTAATGTCTGAGTATGCTTGAATTAATTTCTGGTTTAGAAAAAATCTTAGATCCTCGACAGGGGATCGAACCCGGGGATCTAGGGCAAGAAGCAAGTGTCCTTACCACTCGACTACAAAACCACATATTGTTTAAAAGTTTATATAAAAGTAACAAAATATGGTGTTTGACCCTATGAAAGATAATTTATTAAATTATGTGAATACAATAATTTATTATTTAAGAAAAAACATGTTAGTACCAGTTATGAGACATCTGTGTGATGACACTCAGCCATGTTCACTCCCTAAAAGTATACAGGGTGGCCAAAAAGGATTTTTAAATTTACCACTTTTTGAACTGAATTTTCTGTTTTTCCAAAAATTTTTTTTCAATCAAAAATTTCAAAAAAAAATTTCAAATTTTCAAATATTTTCAAAAATTTCTTGCTAGATAAGTCGTACAGCTAGATTTATTTTTCTTATTTATATATATATATGCTTTTTTCTTTTTTATGTTTGTAAAGGAATAGGTGAAAATCAACTATGTTGATCCATATTTCCTTTTGCGTAATTTTGAATTAATACAATAAATATTATTATTATTATTATCTACATCGACTGGCGTGCGCAACGTATGCTTCGAGAAACTGCTAAGACAGACATTTTTAAGTCGAGATATGGTGGATTGGTAACAAGAGTTGTAGTGATTGTGTTTCTTAATCATCCTTGTGGGATATATTCTTTTGTTGTCAAGTTATATAGATTTCGTTTTGTATGCATCGTAGTGTATGGGTGTTATACCTAAAATATACCTTTTCAAGAGATATAAGCCGGAAAGACTTACTTAACCTCATTCTGTTCGACAGCACGTGGTGAGTGTCCTTCATAAGAAGGTTTGTAGTTATCATAGTTTAATGTCATTGTTTACTATTAGTTTAATTCATTTTAGGGTCCTTGTATGGTCCAGTCATACGTTCTTGTATGGTCCAGTCATACGTCATTGTATGGTTCCGTTATAATAGTTTTATAGGAAGAGTCCTTGTATGCGTCTTGTCCTACGTCATTGTGTGTAGCGTTCTTCCGTGCAGCAGCCGTTTATGCAGCGTTTTTGTATGTACATCTTCATACGTCCCTTCATAATAAGTTGTTTGTATGGTTCAGAATTCCGCTAAACGTCCTGCCGTCGCGCGTCGCTCAAATTTCAAGGGTCACCAGTGACTAACTCTAAGAACGCCGAAGCCTTCGAGACTTCCCGCTTAGACACGCAAGTTTTGTGTTACATATTGTCCACTGATAATTGCCTCTTAATTAAATTAATTAATGATTGTTTTGGTAGTGTGGTCATAAGCGTTTTGGTTAGTTGTATTGTAATTGATATTATTTAATGCAGCGGAAATTAGCTGAGTAAGCATAGCGTCTCAATATGTATGCGTTTTATGAGAGCTTACATAAGTTGCGCCTATTACGATTTTCATTTAATTGGTGTAAAAATAGAGCGTATATTTGCCTCTAAAAGTTAATCTCTGTTTTAGGGTGTACCCATATATTTTTTCTATACTTAGGCTATTAGGCGTATTATTTAATTTATACTGTTTAGTATGGTAATTTCTATTTCAGTAACTAGGAAATTATTAATCTCTGACATAAGGGTAAGTGTGTATATTTACAGTTTCTGTGGCGCCCTTTAAGACTCATCTTTATATAATTTCTTTTTTCAGTTGGTAGGGTTACAAAATTTGACCGATCCCGTCTCCACTGCATGACTAGTTGGCACCTACTCACAATTGTTTATTATCACAAACCTAAAATAATAAACCCGAAACAAAAATTATAGATTGTGAATGAAAAGTTGACATTATTTTCAGTCACTCTAGTTCCACTATATACTTTATAATTGAACTATGACTCTAACAAAGAGAAGCTTTCAGAGCCACGCTGCTAGATTCCAACTTGGAAGCTCTATTTTATTCTCAGGAAACAAAAACACTACCAGTTTTTATCTTCCATCGGACAACGAAAAGTATATTAATCCTTATCACTTTTTTTACTCTGTTCGCATTTTCAGCACTTCCGTCCATCTCCTTGTCTAATGACTACGTTAGTGTCCTCTTACTCCGTCACATCCAAGTCGCGGTCGCGCACTTTAATTGCACATTTCCTAAATTATAGGGGCGGCTCGCTACACCCAGTGGTGATAATTGTGTTTGTTAAAGACTCCACAATTTGTAAAACAACTTCGCTCCATATAACTCTCGATTGAAAATCAGGTTGTTCTTCGCATTTCCGATTAAACCAACGACAAAAATCAAGTCTTCTACCAAAATCATTATTGTTTGAAGCTTGGACAATCGTAGGTTTGTGCAGATGATATTCCTTTTATTTCAATGTATTGTGTACAGTTATCTTAGGAATATTTGTTTAGCCTGCAATTTGTCGCACTGATATGCGGGGATATTGTTAACAGCTTCGAGAATATTATTTGTGCGGTCAACATTATCAATATCATACCGATCTCTTTTATTATCAAAATTCCCGTAATTTAAAAATTGCTCACAGTTCTTCCAAAATGTGGTTGTATTCACTCCGGAAATATTTCAAGATTGGTAGCCGATGCTTTTAAATAACCTTCTAACATCAAATTTTTCTTCATTTGAGAATTTGTGCGACATTTTGCAATAACCACACTCTTGAACAGTAATAATAAGTATTTTTGAACAATTTACAATAATGCCATTACTATTTAGTGAACAACTGTCAACTAACAGTAATACTTATTATTTGTTTTAAACCACAGCCTACTAAATTTTACTGAAAGTTATGTGTGAATTTGGTCGTTTTTAGAAAAGCATTTTTCAAATTTTACTAATTATTAACTACTTTTCATGCAAGAATGCCCTTGATGAAGAGGATTTCTTTGTTCAAATTTTGAACACTTTATTGACAATTTTATGACATATAAAACTGTAATGATCGTCTAAAAATTTACTGTAGATTTTAAGGGCATAGATAATTAGCCGTCGTCTGAATAAGCAATAAGCTTTACAAAAACTTTTTGATTTTCTATGGCCTACTATTATGTTTCGTTAAGCAATGGATAACTTTTCTTAAAGTAGTCCCTTAAAAAACAAATTTTCCTCGGCATGTGATACATCATCTGAAAGCTCTTTTTAAGCACAATCTGAAAAACGAAAAATCCAATATGGCTGCTATAACAAAAACAAAAGTTACCTCGGATATCTCGAAAACAAAAGTCTAAAACCCGTCTGACCAAGGATTACTTGGCTACAGCCAAAAGGAGTAATCACAAAATGTTCGTTTTTTTTGGAAAATCCCAAAAACAGTTTCAGCTAGCCGTGATTTCTTAACGGATTTGGAATCAGCATAAAATTTGCTAAAACTGATCCTATTTAATCGACCTTATAGCTCTTACCGTTTCCGAGATCCCAATGAGCATCGAATTTGAGACACACGATATAGCAAATTCCAGGGATATTCAAATTTTTGGAAAACATGTTTTGTGCTTTTTTCCATTACTATACAGCGTCGCACTTTGTGGATTCGAATCCACTAAATCATTCCGAATAATATACGTATTTTTTTAAAAATTATATCTTCGATTTCACCCCTTATGATAATATTTAGGCCAGACACCCAGAGACTAAACCATGTCAATTATTACATATGCTTCGACAGACCTGTAGATAAAGCGTACGATAATTTTAAATACCAAAATTATAATAGTTAATAATTAAAAATATAATATTTAATATTAATATAATAATTTAATAATAGTATATCTGTGTTTAAATTCGGAGGGTTATACAATCAGAACGTTCAAACGGAAATGTGGTGTGGTTCAAGTGATATGACTATGAATTAAATTTTTGGAACTATTACAAGCGACTCATAATATATCTCTAGGAATATTTTCATACTAAAATTATATTCCGTAACCCGATTATATGATTTCCCTATTTTCCGTCAACCTTTCTAGAGAAAACGATGTCCTTGTTTGCGGGTTTAAATAAGGATATTTCTCTTGTTTTGAATAACTTTGAAGAGGGTTAGGTTTATAATAAAGTTATTTATATTTAAACATGACATGTCCTTAATTGCATGAATGATAAAATATTGCCTTCGAGAACTAAGGATAAGATGTTAAAATGACCAATCCATGAACCGCATTTAGAATCTTATGGTATATTTTGTGACAAATGGATGTGACAACTTTTGTTTACGTTTGCTATGAAAAATACTTCACAAATGGAACAATATCTATTGTCCTTTGTGTTTTGGTAAGGACAACACTCTTTCGAACATGAGGGTGTAGATATATTGGTTTGTGTTGTCCAACGGATACATTACTCACCTCTAGTGATAACTTTTATAGTGGATTTTAGGACTTGTTTTCCACAAAAAAAATGCCAAACGTTGTTTATAATACGGTGAATTTTTCAGTAAAATGGTTACTTTATAATAAATCACAATCACTTTTACAACAAATAAAGTACACTGTAATTAAATATTGTTGACTTTTTGACCCCTCAGCTAATAAAACTCAAAAACATACCTCAAGTTTATTAATTAAGACTAATAAAATATGTACTAGATATTAATTTTTTAAAGGAAAATGTGAGAAATTTACTTTTAAATATCATAGTTACACAGATTTTCAAATAAAGATCATTTATCATTTCTTTCACGAAAAAAAATAAGTCAAAACACTAAACTGGTTTATTCACTCTAATGACTTTTTAAAATAACTTTTTCCGTATTTTCAGCTTCATTTAAATTTTAGGACAGGCACGCAGATACCCCTCTCGTAATCTTAACGAGCATCTTAATATCCCTTTTGCGTGTTAGAGGTCAATTAACGCATTTTGCTAACTTGTGTATTGTTCTGTACTTACACTTATTAACATTGAGGTTATGAACACGGTATTTAGTAACAATATCGTAGCTAGTAAAACAATGAAGCAACGATTTGTTTATTTGCGTGCTATTATTATTCAATATGATGATTGAATAGAGCCACCTCCACAGCAATTATCGGCATTTTGCGACTATGAGCGTGTTATTCCAATAATTCTCTTTATGTCCATATACATATAAATCCTTTTGAATGGAGGTAACGATCCAGA